GGTGTGGAGTATGGTGAGGGTGTGGGAGTTGGTGAGGGGGTGTGATACTGTGTGGGTGTGGAGTATGGTGAGGGTGTGGGGGTTGGTGAGGTGGTGGGATACTGTGTGGGTGTGGAGTATGGTGAGGGGGTGGGGTGTTGGTGAGGGGGTGGGATACTGTGTGGGTGTGGAGTATGATGAGGGTGTGAAGGTTGGTGAGGGGGTGTGATGTGTGGGTGTGGAGTATGGTGAGGATGTGGCATACCATGAGGGTGTGACCAAGCGGGCTGCTTTGCCTTGGATGATATCAAGATTTGTGAGTCTTGTTAAACCTGCGTTCATCTGGACAACTGGAGAGTATTCCACAACACTCCTGACCTGTGCTTTCTAGATGGTGGGTAAGGTTTTAGGAGTCAGGAGGTGAGTTCATCACAGTAAAATTCCTAGCCTCTGATCGACTCTTGAAGCCTCAGCGTTAAGGTGGCCAGTCCAGTTGAGTTTCTGGTTAATACTAACCCATAGAATGTTGGTAGCAGTGGATTTTAGCAGTGGGTAATGTAACTTAGCTCGTGGGACAGATGTTGACTGTCAGTCAGACAACACTTTTTCTATTTCTGATCCTTTAATAGTTGTGCATTGAGAAACCTTTTCAAAAATCCAGTTTTTTTTTCTTTAAATGCCCCTGAGGGGTTGTTTCTGATCTTCTGGAGATTGTTCTAGAATTCCTGGAGACTCCCAGGACAGTACCAGTGGGTTGGAGGCCCTGTATGCAATAGGGCGAGATGATGATATTTTCTTGAGGTCTGAAAGATAAAACCAGAGGGATAGGGAGTGCTTTCTGCACTTCAAAAGTGGGAGTGTGCATAAGTTGAAACCCAGTTTTGACACCTTGCAGGGCAACTGATGCATTGACCTACCTGAAACTCCTTATTATGGGTTAGCATGGCCTCTTTTCTTTTCTTTGACTTTTTTGTAGAATGGCTACACGCCCCTGCACATAGCTGCCAAGAAGAATCAGATGGACATTGCAACGACCCTGCTGGAGTATGGCGCTGACACCAACACTGTGACCAAGCAAGGCATTACGCCCGTGCACCTAGCTGCTCAGGAGGGCCATGTGGACATGGTCTCCTTGCTCCTGACCCGCAACGCAGATGTGAACCTGGGAAACAAGGTTGGTGACCTGCCAGCACCGTTCCTCCACACTCTGCTTCTGCTCGTTCATTGCTCTATTTCCTGACAGATTTTGCTCCGGTATCACAATACATTTCCACTGCTCCTGCACGCCCTGCTCCATTGCATGGCGAACCCCCAAAAGCGACCAGCAGGAGAGGTCCAGCTTCAGCACCCTCTATACCACTGGAGTACTCCGAGTTCAGACTTCCCAGCACTCTGTTTCCAGAGCCTGCTGAACTCCAGGGAGAGGCTGCGAAACAAAGGGCCTCACGGGGTAAATGAAGGAAAAGGATACTCAGGAGATTCCCCTCTTCGATTCCCTCAAGGGGATCACATTGTGCATGTGCTGTCTCCACAGCCATTTATTTCCTACATGACATGACCTCTCTGCCCCAGCCAACAACTGCTCCATTGATGGTGGCTTTGGCGTCATTTTGAAGACACTATTGACTAGAGGAACCGGCATTACTTAGGCAAGCAATGTCCTTGAGCTGTACCAACGCCTTTTGCCGTGGATTGGTGAAGCTCAGATTTGATCTTCCTCATGATAAGTTGCACCCTCTCACCATATCATGTCCAGAAGGTGTAGGGTAGAGACTACAGGAGTGTCTGACCCATGTAGACACCCATAAACATTGCTGGAGGCCAGAAACAACCACCTGCGCTCATTTCAGCGGAAGGACATTGCTGGTTTTGGGCGATCAGAGGCCCAGGGGATAGGGAAGCGGTAAGTGGATCTAGAATAAGTTAAAAAATAAAATCTTGGGAGAGGAATTCAAACCAGCACAGTCGGCAACAGATTATCCGTCGGCTAAGCACCCAATTTTCTTTCTCACCTAGTTTGCCATCCCGCTTTCACCTCCGAGTATCCATGTGCTCACTTTCCGTCAGCTCTTGCCCTACTCCCTGTGCCCACATTTGGAATGGGAGCTGCCTACGTAAGCATTAGTCCTCAGCAGGCTCGGCTCACTCCTCTCAGCCACTGCCCTTCCCAGTGGCTGCATTGTGTTTTTGCACATCCATTCGCACAACCTGTGTACGGTTATGAAAGTTCACCCACCCAGTCCAGAGTTAGCGCTGTCAGCACTCTGTGTCAAAGGTGGCCAGCTTTACAATCGGTTTGGGAAGAATCTCCATGGTCCAGTCTTCACTCCCACGGACCACTGTTCCGATAGCAAGATCTTCACCAGGCAGAACGGGGGTGGGGGTGGCTGTTCTATTGGACAGTGGTGAAGTAACAGCACATTTCATAGCCTCCCAGCTTGCTTTCCCAGGAACTGTTGAGTTGTCCTCAAGGACTTTGGTCACACTTTAGTCAGGTAGACATTTGTATCTGTGTCTCCAACCTTGGCGAATGTACTGCAGTTGAAAACTGATATCCAGGCCCACCATTAAATATGTATCAGCACAGAGCCATAGTTAGGCTGCAAGGCAACCAGCATTGCAGACATCCTCCCTGTACAGCTTCTACTATTGTCACTAGCATAGTAACCGGGAATTGCATTACAAACTCTGATGGCTTCACCATTGACAGAATGTAACTTGGATTCACAGAGTGGTCTGACACCGCTTCATTTGGCTGCTCAAGAGGATCGGGTGAATGTAGCGGAAGTGCTGGTTAATCAGGGAGCTGCTATCGACCCACAAACCAAGGTACGCGCTTGCCATTGTATTCTGTTTGTTTTCAGTGTCACTTTTGGAGCTAATGTATGGAGTAATCAGGGGTCCAGCAGGAATGATTCAAGCCGTTATACTTGTGCCTTAGTTCCCGTGCTAGTCCAGGAGGTACAAGGCACCAAGCAGAGAAAAGTTTTCAAATTCTGAATGAGGACATTTATACTAACCCTTCCTGACTTCAGAATGCTCCAAAGTGCTTTGTGAGCAATTTTGAAGTGTACTCACTGCTGTTATAAGAAAATGTTAATTTGTTGTATCAATATTGGTTGAAGGATAAATATTGTCGAGGACGTCGTGGAGAGGTCCCTTGCAGTTCATCAAATGCAGTTGAAATCTTCTTTTCATGTAGTGTCATCCGGATATTGTTCTGATTGAGCGTCATAGAGTGAGGCCAGTAAACACGCTTCGATCTTAGTGCTGCTGTTTAAGGCTCATGTAGTGCTGTGTGACCCGGTCAGTGCCATGTTAGACTGCTCCTGAAACTCTTTCCCTCTCCCCAACTCTCTCTCCCACTCCCCGAGTCTCTCTCCCACTCCCCGAGTCTATCTCCCTCTCCCCAACTCTCTCCCATTCCCCAACACTCTCTCCCTCTTCCCAAATCTCTCTCCCACTTCCTAACTCTCTCCCACTTCCCAACTCTCCCTCCCACTCCCCAACTCTCCCTCCCACTCGCCAACTCTCTCTCCCGCTCGCCAACACTCTTTCCCGCTCCCCAACACTCTCTCCCATTCCCCAACTCTCTCTCCCTCCCTCTCCCCAACTCTCTCTCCCACTCCCCAATTCTCCCTCCCACTCCCCAATTCTCCCTCCCACTCCCCAACTCTCTCTCCCACTCCCCAACTCTCTCTCCCACTCCCCAACTCTCTCTCCCACTCCCGAACTCTCTCTCCCTCTCCCCAACTCTCTCTCCCTCTCCCCAACACTCTCTCCCTCTCCCCAACTCTCTCTCCCATTCCCCAATGCCCTCCCTCGCCCCAACTCCCTCCCTCTCCCCCATGCTCTCCCACTCCCCACCTCTCTCATTTATTTCATTTATGAATATAGGAACCTAACAATGTGCAGTGTTTTCATTTACATTGCAGTAATACTTTAATTTTTTTTGCGAGTTGGAAATTTGCAACAGCAGCTAACTTCGGCTTTTACATTGGTTTTTGAAGGAAATCGTCTAATAAGGACTTATTTTCTTTTCTTTGGAATTTTTTAAGAAAGGTAATGAATAACTTACATTTCTGTGGCACCTTTCAGTACATTTCAAAGCATTTACAGCCATTGAAGTACTTTTTGAAGTGACATAACTTCAGAAGGTCCAGCTGAAGGGGCAGACAAGGCCTCAGTTTGAATCAGATCCTTGGTGTAGCCATCCCTCAGGATTGGAGATTGGAGATTTTCTGGGCTGCCAGGTCAAAACAGCCCGGTGGGCTCAGGCACGGGGCGGGGGGATTTGTTCTGTTTCTGTTGCTCTGTCAGCCCCGAGAAAACACTCTTGTGGTTTCAGGCAGGCCAACGTGTCGATGTTTCAGGCATTTTCAAAGGGACCGTTTGAAACAGAATGGTACCCAGAAAGTAAATGAAGTGTTGCGTTTCTGTCTCTGAGAAGAGTTACCTTTGCTTTTTGATTACAGATGGGTTATATTCCACTGCATGTAGCGTGTCACTATGGGAACGTGAAGATGGTTAACTTTCTGTTGCAGCATAATGCCAAAGTCAATGCCAAGACAAAGGTTGGTTCACCTTCGCTGAGAGCACTTGCGGCTGACTTCACTCTGAACTAACTAAACCTTTTTGAACAGTGACTTCCTAATATCAATCTTCTTGTCCCTTACTACAGAATGGGTACACCCCCTTACACCAGGCGGCTCAGCAGGGACACACCCACATCATTAACATCCTCCTGCAACATGGCGCCTCTCCAGATGAAGTCACCATGGTAATTACTGAAAGACGCCAGTGAATTGTCCTTTCCCTGAACGTGTAGGCAGATTCCTGTCCAAACGTCTGCTTACACGTTACAGTCTATCATCAGCCACCATTGAGTAGGTGGCAGCCAGGATATGTTTAACAAATCTCTCTCCACTGTCCAAGTGCAAAGAGAGACTTAACATGAATCAAAAGTTGGACTTACTGATCCCGACCACAGAGTCTGGGTGCAGTACAGACCCTGTCAGGTGCTGGTCTATATTCACCAATAATACTATCTGCTGGGGGAGTATGGTTTGGATAAACACACAGTATTTATATGACTGAGTCTGATAAGCTTGCTGTAGCGTTAGTCTGCGAAGCTGTAAAATCAATTCCATTTGTCATGTCTCTTACCTTTGACTCCTGCCTACATTCTGTAACTTTCTTCTCACTATTGCCACAAGGGCAGCTTTTGTACCATCTTCAAACTTCTTAATCATGCTCACTACATTTAAATCTAAATCACTGATCCAAAACTGTTTCCTCTAATTTACCCATCAGCGATAGTAGGCTGACTGACTGTAGTTAGCAAGCTGTCCTGCCTACCCTCCTCAAACAATGGTACTGCATTAGCGGGCCCAGGCCTGTAGTCAGACAGGGTTGAACGACGATGTCCAAGGCCTCTGCTAATTCTTCCCTTTGCACATTTGGATACATTTCATCCAGGATTGATGGTTTATCCAGTGCCAAATTCCTTAATATTCTCCCCTGTCACTGTGTTTATTTCAGAGACGACAACCCTTCTCCTTACAACACTGTCTGCTTCTCTCTCTCTCTCTCTCTCTTGGTTATGAAGATAGATGGAGATGTTTAATTACTGACCACATCCACAACTTGCTCCTCCACATATAGCTTACCTTCCTGGTCTCGAGTAGGTTTTAGTCTTTCTTCAGTTATCCTCTTGCTCTTTATTTATTTATTTGTTTCCTTATTGATTGATTGATTGATTGATTGATTTATCTATCAATTTACAGTACATCTTTGAGTGTCTTTCACTTTAGTTGCCAATAGCTTTTCATACTGTTTCTTTTGCTTTATGCATTTCCTTTCTAATGTCATCCCTGCACTTTCTATCCTACATTATAGCACTGAGCTTCAGGCATCTCATGCCAGCTTTCCTCTCTGCCTTGTCCTTCCTCCTGGAAAGCCTTTTACTGCTCGGACACTGATCGATCTTCAAGTAGCTGTTTTCAGTGCACTTTTGCAAATGAAGCTTCAGCTCAGAAACATTAGCTTTTCCCCAAATCTAACTGAATAATGATCATTCCTCGCAAAATGCTCTCCCACCTTCTCCGTCTACTAGATTCAACCCCTAAGATGAAGTGCAGCAGGTGATGTGATGTATTGATGCAGTGGATGTGGTCTACGTGAACTTCAGTAAGGCTTTTGGCAAGGTACTGCATGCGAAACTGGTCAAGAAGCTAAGAACCTATGGTATTTGGCAAACTGGAGTCAAAATTGGCTTCGTGGCAGAAGGTAGAGGGTGATAGCCAAAGGTCGCTTTTGTGACTGGAAACCCATGTCCACTGGTGTACCACAGGGTTCAGTACCAGTCCCTCTTGCTGATTGTTAGGTACACTCATGATCTCGATGTAAATATAGGAGGTACGGTCAGAAAGTTTGCAGATGACATGAAAATTGTTAGTTTGGTAAATAGGGAGGATGAGAGTCTTTAACTGCAGGATGATACAGATAGGCAAATGGAATTTAATCGTAAAAAATGTGAGATGGTGCATTTTAGGAGGACCCTCGGAGGTACTGAGGATCAGAGGAACCTTGGTGTTCATGTCCATAAATCTATGGTGGTAACAGGACAGGTAGATAAGCTGGTTAGTAAAGCACATGGATTGCTTGCGTTTTTTAGTCAAGGCATTGAATACAAAAGCAGGGAGGCTATGATGGAGCTGTATAAAACATTAGTAAACCTTTTACATTGACTACTTCCAAGTAAATATTCAGGTCATTGGGGAGGCGATGACCTAGTGGTATTATTGCTAGACTATTGATCCAGAGACCCAGGTAGTGTTCTGGGGACCCAGGTTTGAAGCTTGCCACAGCAGATGGTGGAATTTGAATTCAATAAAAATATCTGGAATTAAGAATCTAATGATGACCGTGAATCCATTGTCAATTGTTGGAAAAACCCGTCTGGTTCACTAACATCCTTAAGGGAAAGAAAATACCATCCTTACCTGGTCTGGCCTACATATGACTCCAGACCCACAGAAATGTGAGTTGAACAATAAATGCTGCCTAGCCAGCGACACCCTCATCCCGTGAACGAATAAAGGAAATAATTTATGTACATATTGCTCCTCTACATCTCTCAGAGAATCGCCTCATTATTTGCTCTTCAACTTCCCCTGATTGCTTGGAGCTCTATATTACACTCCCAGCAGGTAATCTCCTCTTTTCTGTTCCTCAGCTCATCTCATGTGGATTCATTTGATGTTCCCTCAAACATGTCATTCATCCTCATAGTCGGAAGTACTTATTAAACCAAGTTTGCAACCTCTCCCCTCCTTTTTAATTCCTCCCGCTCCCCTCTCCTGTCTGAAAACCTTGTGAACAAAAAATGTTCAGCTGTCATTCCTACCCGTTAAGACATGTTTCAGGAATAGTTATCTGATCATATGCACAAGTAACACACCCTGTAATTTTGTTTCATTGTGATTTGTTAAAGTGAAGAGGCCTTTTTAATTTTGTGGTGCTGATTTACAATAAGTTTAAGGGGCTGATTGAATGCAGTTGCTTTTGGAACTTCTGGCTTATTGCACAGCTATTGAGCCCCACTCCTTACAAGGAACACTGCTTCCAGGCTTCGATCTGTGCTTTCAACTCATCTGCCTTATTTCTGAGCTTTCTTCCATTGAACTATGTGCCACTGATTAATGAAAAACAACTTTGTTTTCTGTTTCCTGGCCTTTCTTTCCTTAACCTTGCAAATGATTCATCTTCCTGCCATCTCTTTCAGATTCACCCTTCTTCCCTCCTTCCTCACTCAGGTGCCCCTGACATGCTGGTTTAAAACCTTTTCCAACAGCACCGCTAAACATTCCCATTGAGATTTTGGTCTCAGCCCTTGTGAGGTGCAACCCTTCCATCCTGCATTGGCTGCAAATAGAGTCATAGAGTCATACAGCATGGAAACAAACCAACTCATCATGGCAGACTGGTACAAAAAGGTGAACCCTGATGGCAGACTGGTATAGAAGATGAAGTCACATGATATCAGGGTGAGCTGGCAATATGGATACAGAACTAGCTTAGTCATAGGAGACAGAGGGCAGTGGTGGAAGGATGCATTTTGGAATGGAGGGCTGTGACTCGTGGTGTTCCACAGGGATCAGTGCTGGGACCTCTGCTGTTCATGGTCTACATAAATGACTTGGAGGAAAACGTGGCTGGTCTAATTAGTAAGTTTGCGGATGATACAATGATTGGTGGAGTTGCAGATAGTGAGGATTGTCAGAGGATACAGGAGGATATAGATCAGTTGGTGGCATGGGCAGAAAAATGGCAGATGGAGTTTAATCTGGACAAAGTGAGGTGATGCATTTGGAAGGTCAAGTACAGGTGGAAATTATATATGACGATAGACAAGTTAAGCTGCAACTTTATGGAACTTTAGTTAGGCCACACTTGGAATATTGTGTACAGTTCTGGTCACCACACTACCAGAAGGATGTGGGTGCTTTGGAGAGGGTACAGGAAAAGTTTACCAGATGTTGCCTGGCATGGGGGCTTTTAGCTATGAAGAAAGGTTGGATAGACTGCGTTTGTTTTCACTGGAATGCAGGAGGTTTGTCAGGGGAGAAGGATCAATTTCTGGGGGTTACAGGTTCAGAGAACGGGATGGGGGAAGGTTATAAGAGATGTGTGAGGTACATTTTTCACACAAAGGATGGTGAGTGCCCGGAACATGCTGCCAGACGAGGTGGTGGAAGCAAACATAATAGCAGCATTCAAGAAGCACCTAGACGAATAGATGAACAGGAAGGGAATAGAGGGATAGGGATCCTGTACGTGAAGACAGGTTTAGTGTGGAAGGGAAAAATGTGTCGCTGCAGGCATGGAGGGCCAAAGGGCCTGTTCCTGTGCTATATTGTTCTTTGTTCCCTGTTCTTCTACACTGACCAGATATCCTAAATTAATCTAGTACCATTTACCAGCATTTGGCCCATATCCCTCTAAACCCTTCCTATTCATGTATCCATCCAGATGCCTTTTAACTGTTGTAATTGTATCCGCCTCCACCACTTCCTCTGGCAACTCATCCCAAAAATGCACCATACTTTGCGTGAAAAAGTTGCCCCTCAGGTCCCTTTTATATCTTTCCCCTCTCACCTTAAACGTATGCCATCTAGTTTTGGAATCCCCTACCCTGGGGAAAAGACCTTGACTATTCACCATGCCCCTCATGATTTTATAAACCTCCATAAAGTCACCCCCTGCCTCCGACACTCCAGAGAAAATAGTCTCAGTCTGTTCAGCTACTCTCTCTAGCTCAAACTCTCCAACTCTGGCAATATCCTTGTAAATCATTTGAAGTTTCACAACATCCTTCCTATAGCAGGCTGCAGAGTTCATCCTTATGCCCAAGGATCTTCCCCCTGCACTATCTCTCTAGTCATTCATTGAGCTATCCTCCTGCTTCTGTACTCCCGAGGACATGACATCAGGAGTCATCCACAGATTACTCCCTTTGAGTTACTTTGATTACTCCCTGTGAATTGTTTCACAGACCCCCGCAGTCTGTGTGAGGGACCACATCCCTCTTTCTAGCTACTTCATTGGTTCCAACATGGGCCATGACGCCTGGCTACTCACTTCTTGCCCTCCAGTCAGAATGTTCAGCAACTGACACCCTTGACCTTGGCACTGGGGCAGCAACATCCTGGAGTCATGTTGGAGCAGATACACCTTCCTTCTCCCCTAACCATTTAACATCCCTAACGGGATAACTCCCCTCACATCCCTGCTCCATCCCTGCCCGATTAAACTTGGGATATACCAAACAGTTACAGAGTAGGATTCCTTCGGAATTAATTGTCTGAGCTTCCGTCTGTATCTGTGTTGAACAAACTGATATCCATATATTGACTTAGGGAGCAAAAGGCTTTGAGTCTTACAATAATACACGCCAGCTCCTGCCTCTCTTTGAAAGGATCAAGCACTTTTAAACATAAAGTCCAGTGATAGTCTGGTGGTCACCTATTGCTTCACTGCCTGCACACTCTAAACTTCCGAATTTAACCTCCTGCCTAAAATTACCTTAAAAGAAGTAAACAGTGACACCCACCATGTGTTGCTCAATGATGTTACACCCTGGGTTTTTTGGTGCTGATCATATTATTCTGCTACTGTTATTCCTCCTCCTCTTCCCTCTACTCAACTCCACACTCTGTGCCCGAACAGGATAATAACAGGAGGAAGATATTTCTATGTTAGCCAGTGTGTTGATGTGCAAATATTTATTGGAAAAACCCAAGCCAGAGAGGAAAAAAGAAACCAGTGGGATAATTCTTATTTTTTTTTCCCTGAAAGATCCATCAGCACTAAAGATGTTAGCTTTCTTGTACATGCTTTCTGATCTGTTACGTTCAGTTTCACACACTATCCTGCATGTCTGTCGTTTGTACATTTCACACTCAGTTTCTCATACATATTCTTACTTGCTGCCTCATACTCCCAATTTTATACACATTCTTGGGCACTTAAATGCTATTACACACTTGCAATCTTTCTTTCCACTCACTCATTCAGCTTTCATGCTTTCTGTTATCCACATATATATTGTCATGCTCCCCCTCTCATGCTTTCTCTCTTAAATTTTCTTACACATTTCTGTCTCAGAAGTGGATACTTTATGGAGCAGGCTCAAAGGGCTGAATGGCCTTTTCATGCTCCAAGGTCCTGTTTTCCTCATTGTTCACTCTACCCATGCATATCTAAGAGGAACAAAATATATGGAAGAGAACAATTTACATGTCTCTCAATGTTTAACAATAAAAAAAATTCCTGAAATGAGAGTAAAGAAATGATGGAATGAGGCTGTTTTGTAAATTTAATCAGTAAACTTTTAAAGAGATGCGATTATTTTTCAGAACCACGATGCTCCAGAATGAACATCACAATTGTTTCCTCTGCAGTCTCATTGTAGAATGTTGTTCTTGTTTTTTTTTAGAATGGGAATACTGCTTTAGCCATTGCTAAGAGGCTTGGTTATATCTCTGTGGTTGATACGCTGAAGGTGGTAACTGAGGAAACTTTGACAACTACAATGGTAAATTCCATTTCTTTCTGCTTGTTTCGATTTCCGTACATAATCATATTGCCTGGGTACTTTGTTAAACTCAGTGCTGCTTCAAGCAATGAGTTCAAGCACGAATAATGACTCTGATCTGAAGCAACTGTCCCTAAAACACTCTGTTTTTTTCCATAGTCTGTTACAGAAAAGCATAAGCTAAATGTTCCTGAAACTATGAACGAAGTTCTGGATGTATCTGATGATGAAGGTAATGGAAATAACATTAAAACGTTCTCTTCTGAAATTATCCCTGCTTGTAGTAAGAGGCTTAGTCCAATTTCTGATACTTGTTTTTCCAATTGTCATCATGAACAAAGAGATCTAAGGGTACAGGTTCATAGCTCCTTGAAAGTGGCATCACGGGTAGACAGGACAGTGAAGAAGGCTTTCAGCATGCTGGCTTTCATCGGTCAGAGCATTGAGTACAGTAAATGGGACGTCATGTCGCGGCTGTACAAGATGTTGGCGAGGCCACATTTGGAGTACTGTGTGCAGTTCTGGTCACCCTACTATAGAAAGGATATTATTAAACTGGAAAGAGTGCAGAAAAAATTTACTAGGGTTGCCACCTGGACTGGAAGGTTTGAGTTATAAAGAGAGGTTGGATTGGCTGAGACTTTTTTGCCTGGAGTGTAGTAGACTGAGGGGCAACCTTATAGAGGTATATAAAATCATGAGGGGCATAGATAAGATAGATAACAGACAGCTTCTCCCCAAGGTAGGGGAGTCTAAAATTAGAGGGCATAGGTTTAAGGTGGGGGGGGTGGGGGGGCAGGGGGCAGGGGGGAGATATAGAAGGAGTAATTTTTTTCACACAGAAGATGGTGAGTGTCTGGAATGGGCTGCCAGAGGTAGTGGTGGAGGCGAGTACGATTTCATTATTTAAAAAACATTTAGACAGATACATGGATGGGACAGAGTTGGAGGAATATTGACCAAATGCAGGCAAATGGGGCTAGTTTTAAATTGTGAAAACTGGGCAACATGGGCAAGTTGGGCTGAAGGGCCAGCTTCCGTGCTGTAGACCTCTATGACTCTATGTGCCTGTTTTTCGTAACTCTGCACATCAACCAAAAAAAATTTAAAAAATAAGGAAATCTATTATTCTAGGTAGGGGCTTGTCCTCTTGTGTTACCCTTTCAAGAACATAATGCCATGATTCACTAAGCCTGTGTTGTCAGTTGGATTTCAGAATAATGATAGCTGAGGTTGAAAAGTATTGAGTGTAGACACTGTCCAGTGCTCCAATCAGGAGAAGCTCAGCCTGGTCCCCAGCTAGTGCTGACTCAGCTCTTTAGGAATAGATCAGTAAATTAGGTCTTGGTGCTTCTGACCTAGGGAAGGGCAGATAAACCAGCAGCCCCAGTCTTCCTCCACATCCTTGTTCCTCTCCCTGTTTCTGCATTGTTTCCTGAATATTATTCTGGCCTAAAATGAGCTCTTCCTCTATCCATGGATCTCTGCCACATTTCTGCATTGTCAGTGACCTTGAACCTTAAGATATCGCTTCAGAGTGTCATGCTTTCAATAACTCTTTTAGCCGAGTTTTGTAAAAGCATCACTTGCCTGATATGAAATCCGATGAATATTTTCTTCTGTGAGCTCGGTGCCGTCTAGTCTTTTCCACAATCTAGCCCTATTTTTACTGAAGTAGGTTTGGAATTGTGGTAACACCTGGTAATATATGGTCATCTTTATTCAAACCATGCAGTTCATAAAGCCAGTGTTCCTGAATTTGTCAGTGAAGCTGAGTCTTTGTCAGATACTTGTTCTCTCTTAAACTGTGATAAGTTAACAATGTAATGCTTCCTTGTTCAAACCCATCACTAACGCACTGACTTCACTTCCGTTCTGCCTGCCTGGATCCTGCTTGCTGTACCTGAATCCTTGTAAACCTTTAACCTGAATATATGATGGGCTGGAATCATACTGAGTGTGAGCTGCCCAAATTGCTTGCTGGTGGTGATGGGAGAACTTGAATTGTCGAGAAACTGCAACTTGACTTAACAAACCTTTCTACCCAGTGGCATTGTTACAGTTAAACATTAACATTGAACTCTTCCGTGAAAGGCTGTGAATGTATTTGTCAGCATTTCTTGGAAATGCTAAGCTCTGGATAGACTTTTCGAGAAACTGTCAATCTTCACTTTGCTCGTTGGAAGGTAGTATTTCTGAAAGAGTGAATTTAAACAATGTTGCAGGGGAAATTAAAGCCCTTAAGCACAAGTTCATCTGAAAGCACACCTCCAGTCAGGATCATAGACTCCCTACAGTGTGGAAGCAGGTCATTCGGCCCGTCAAGTCCACACCGACCCTCCAAAGAGCATCCCACCCAAACACACCTTATCCCCATAACGCTGCATTTCCTATGGCTAACGCACCTACCCTGCACATCCCTGGACACTATGGGTAATCATGGCGAAGCCACCCTAACCTGCACATCTTTGGACTGTGGGAGGAAACCCACGCAGACACGGGGAGAATGTGCAAACTCCACACAGACAGTCGCCTGAGGGTGGAATTGAACCCGGGCCCTTGGCGCTGTGAGGCAGCAGTGCTAACCACTGAGCCACCGTGCCACTCAGACCTTAGCCCTTTCCTACGGCTTTTGAAATTTGACCATCAGTCGCTGTTCCAAGTTTGACTATTCCTGAACTTGACGATCCCATTTGATCCTTTTTTTTAAACTCTCTCACGGGGTGTGGGCATCGCTAGCAAGGGCAGCATTTGTTGCCCATCCCTAACTGCCCTTGAACTGAGTGGCTGGCTCAGTGATCAGTAAGGAGTTGCCCACGTTGCTGTGGGTCTGGAGTCCCATGTCGGCCAGACCATCTAAGGATGGCAAATTTCCCTGCCTAAAAAGGACATTAGTGAAGAAGCTGCACTTTTACAATAATCAGCAATGGTTTATGGTTACCGTTACCAAGACTACTTGCCTTTTAAGATTTATTAATTTAAATTTCAGCAGCTGCTGTGGTGGGATCTGAACCCTTTTCCCAGAGTATTAACTTGAGTTTCTGGAGTATATGTCCAGAGATGTTACCATAATAGTGATTATAATGAGGTCACCCAGCTTAAGGATATGATTTCCCTGATTGGGGCAGGTAATCTGGTCCAATCAAGGAGCCCTGGCTGATATAAAAGAGTCAGCATCAGGGATATTGAGCCCCTGAATGCCTGACTCAGTGAGAGGCATTGCTATTGAAAGGCTATGCTTTTGTAAATAAAGGGTGATAGATCATGGGATGCCAGGCTCTGAAGAGTCACTTTTTACCACTACACTGGGAGAAAATGGGTGACAAATTTAGGGAGTGTGGTTAGTAAGTATGTGGGTGACACGAAGGTTGTTGGTATAGTGGACAGTGAGGAAGGTTATCTGGGAATGCAGGGAGATCTTGATTAACTGGGCCAGTGAGCTGAGGAATGGCAGATGGAGTTTAATTTAGATAAATGCAAGGCGTTGCATTTGGGTGGGTCAAACCAGGACAGGACTTACACAGTCAATGTAATGGCCCTGGGGAGTGCTACAGAACAAAGAGATCTAAGGGTACAGGTTCATAGCTTGAAAATGGAGTCACAGGTAGACAGGGTGGTGAAGAAGGCTTTCAATATGCTAGCTTTCATCAGCCAGAGCATTGTGTATAGGAGATGGGACGTATTGTTGTAGCTGTACAAAACATTGGTGAGGCCACATTTAGAGTGCTGTGTGCAGTTCTAGTCGCCTTACTATAGAAAGGATATTATTAAACTAGAAAGAGTGCAGAAAAGATTTACTAAGATGCTACCTGGACTGGAAGGTTTGAGTTATGAGGAGAGGTTGGATAGGCTGGGACCTTTGGCCTGGCATTGTCTGTCATTCATTCAGATGCGGTTGGCCTAAGCTCATTATCTATTTATATCTCACTCCTCCTTTGAGACACATTAAAAACCCCCCACTTTGATCAAGCTATTGGACCTAATGTGACTTTAAGTGGCTTAGTGTTGACGTGATATTGTCTGATTTGTCACCTACAATTAACCATTATCCACGAGAAGCCATTGGCATCTCTCTCTGGTCATTGCAGTTCTGTCTGTCATGGTCATGCCCCAGTTTCATTTCTGATGTTCTCCACTCATCTAGCCCTCCTTCAAACGGGCCCGTCCTTTCCCCACATTTCACCCTCTGTTGTCGCCAACACCAGACTCTTGGCTTTTCCAACGGTCGTACTTCCTCAAATGCCATGCCTTCACCTCAATCCAAACCCTGTGAGATGCTGGAAGATCCGATTACACTGCTGTGGAATGCTTTATGACATTAAAAAGCCTTATGAGTGCAAGTTATTGCTGCCACTGTTTTATTTCCTTTATTCACTCATGGGATGGGGGCGTCACTGGCTAGGCAGCATTTAATGCCCCTCCCTGATTGCCCAGAGGGTAGTTAAGAGTCAACCACATTGCTCTGGCACATTTAGGCCAGACCAGGTAAGGATGGCATTTCCTTCCTTAAAGGACGTTGCTGAACCAGGTTGATTCTTTCAACAGTGGGTTCATGGTCATCATTAGACTCTTAATTTCAGACTTTTTTTTAAAAAATTGAATTCAAGTTCCACCATCTGCCATGATGGGATTTGAACTCTGGTCCCCAGAACATTATCTGGGTCCCTGGATTAACGGTCCAGAGATAATACCACTCGGCCATCACCTCCCCCTTTGGCAGTTGCAACCATAGGCATGGTGCAGGAAGTCTTTGTGAAAACCAGCTGACTTGCTACACACAGAACGGCGGATGTAAGCCAGAATTTGAGATGTGGAGAGCTGTAGCTGGTTGGCACTCAACTAGGCCTGTCCTCACCACATTCCTGTTGTCAGGCCAAGCAAAACTTGTGAAAGTCATTGGCTGCAAGTGATCTGAGCATCACACACAGACTCGTTCATTTAGGCACTCCTCGTGTCACTGGAGCTGTCTGTCAGGTAGAAGATTCAGTCAGTGCCTACTCAGACCCTGCCCCATCGCTGAGCGCCCCCTGTACTGAAACCTCTGGGAGACAGAGTGAGGCTGTTCTATCGCCTTGAAGGTCATCAAGAATGTCAATTGCAAAATATCTGTGTAACTGTGATGTGACCATGATGTGTCACTGAGGACTTGTCTCTCTCAGGGCTCAGTGCAGATTGTTCCAATGAGTGACAATGCACACTGCCCTGGATGTGAGTCATATAAGCCTCTGCAGGCTCCACATCTTGTAAGATGTCGCACACGGTATTGAAATGAAGTGAATTAGATTTATTGCCACTTGTACTGAAGTGAATGCAGTGAAAAGTTTACAGTCACTGCATTACAGCACCATCTTAGGGACAAAGTTACCCAGGGATAGGTACTGAAGATCAAATTCTTAGGAAACAAAAAGCATGAGACAAGTAAAGAAATAAGTAGTCCAGCAATATAGGTGATAGGAATAAATTAGAAAAATAGCGAAGTTAGAAGTTGAGAATATCAGTCTTGCTGACCACTGTCGCCCCATTTTTGGCGCCGTCTCTTTGTTGCCATCTTGAACAATCTGCTGCCACTGATACCGCTATCCCCAATCACTTTGGAGCTTTGCTGTCAGTGTAGCTAGCCCCAAACACCAGGAGATTGACCAAATGATCCAAAGCTATTGATTTTGTGCAGGAAGCCTGGGAAGTCTGAATCCATTCACTCTGAAGCGAACGGGTTTGAGGTTCAACAGTCAGCCTCCACATGTTGCAGTTCTCTGATTCACCACAGCACGCTCCTCACTGAGATGCATATACCTGTGCTGGGGCTTTCAGTGAGTGCCTCAAACTGCTGGCTCTTTCTGCAGCCTTGGAAGCAACACTGTGTTCCGTTTGTCCATCTGTTTGAGATGTGAACGTCGCTGGTGAGGACAACGTTTATGGCTCAATTAGAGACTTAAAAAAAACTGAGGAAAGGAGTCTGGTCGTGACTGGAGACCATATGGGAGCTGAACGCGCAGGTTGTGTACCACAGGGGCAGTGGATCGAGCACTGGCCATGTACCATAGGGGCAGTGGATCGAGCGCTGGCCGTGTACCGCAACGGCAGTGGATCCAGCGCGGGCCGTGTACGGCAGTGGCAGTAGATTGAGCACGGAGCGATGGCAGATTGAGCAATCCGGTGAGGCGGCAGCGTTCTCGGTTCCTCCTGGGCCCCAATTCCTGGCTATCAGTGATAGATTTGGCGGCGGGAGTGGGCCTTTCTCCCCTCCAGGGCGCCCTGGCATTGGGATCAGCGGCGTCGGCAGTGGTGCGGCCCCTCTGGGCGGGGTTCAAGGGCCAGTCTAGTCTCCAGGCTGTAGCTGGGCCTGGGTGCCTGCACTGTGACTGAGTGTTCCAGGCACATTTATGGAGATGGGACTTTGGCTTTTGAGATCCGGACTTCCTTTTCTCCCCTGGGACTCTGTTAAATATTTAATTCTGGTTCTGTAACCAAGATAGCGCCAGGAAATGGTGACTATGTGCACTTTTCACCGTACTCATGTATTCCTTCACTTAGAAGATGTGACAATACAATCTAAATCTAAATCTAAAACCTGCAGAGGTTGAAATCTGAGATAGAGAAACAGGAATCTGGAAGAACATAGCAGGCCAGGGAGTATCTGGAGGAAAGGTACAGTCACTGTTTCAGGTATTACCCTTCGTCAGGACTGGATGTGGGGGTATGGGGAGCTGCAGGTAAAGAGAGGGGGAGGGAGTTAGCGAAATAGTGGTAGTAGCTGGACACCGCTAGTAGGTACAATCTGGTCGATCAATGGGAGGGATGAATCCGATTGATAGCTGGGAGGGTCGGTAGGTAGAATGAAAGGGAGGAGGTGGGGCTGGAAGGGGAGCCAGGGGATGGGTGGGAAGGTTATTTGAAATTGGAGAACTCGGTGTTGAGTCCTCTGGGCTGTAGGGTGCCCAGGCAGAAGGTAAGGTGCTGTTTCTCAAAATTTGCGATCTGATTCACTGCGACACTGGAGGAGGCTGAAGATGGACATGTCAGAGGGGGAGTTGGGGGGTGGGTTGGGGGGGCGGGGAGCGGGGAGTTGAAGTGGGCGGTGACCGGTGACCGGAAGGTTAGGCCAGCCATTACTGGCCAAGCGAAGATGTTCGTCGAAACGGTCACCGAGTCTATGTTTGGTCCCACCCAATCCCTAACTGCCCTGGAGAAGGTGATGTACACGAGGAGACAAATAAGATTATGTTTCTTCGATTTTCAGCCCTTGGATGTTTTTACTGTCAGAATTGCTGGGGAAGATGGTGAAGAAGGTGGAATAATCGGAGAATAATAAATCTCAGCAAATGGCAATCTCTGTCTGAAAATTGTTGCCGTTTACTCATCCCGAAGGATGAAAAGGCAGGAATCTAATCCCCTGTGTAGTCAGCACTTGGTACTGTTTTGTCAATTGGAGTGTCTAAAAACAGGGTACAGTTGTACGAATATATTCTCACCGTGTTGAAAGCTACAGTGGTAGAGAGCGATTTTTGTGTTTTGGTTTGCTGGAGGCATCTTGAAATCCAGTCACAAAACGCGCACAAAATTCTTGGTGTGTGGGAGGCTGAACTCAGCTGGATTAGACACTGGGATCAGGCGTTTGGATTTATGTTGGGAGCTGGTGGATTAATAATTGAGGAATTCTGTACCTAAAACCCCAGTGGCTAGCCACCTCCCTTCTGCTGCATGTGTTTAGGAGCCACCAATGGTATTCCTGACTTAAATCCTCTCGACCAAAAGGATTCTGCCCTTGGTTGTACCAAGGCTGCTGTACATAGCTAAACCGATTCCAGAAGTCAGGATACCTCTGACATGTAACCCTATAATGAATAGTCAGTCACACCATGGGATTACCATTCACCAGAAGATTAACCAGTCTCAGTTCTATGAATACTCTGCTTATAAGCACAGGTCAGAGACTTGGAATTCTGCAACTGTAACTCACCTTCTGACTCCTCAAAGCCTGTCCACCATCTCCACGAGTCAGGAGTGTGATAGAATACTTACCACTTGCCTGGATGGGTGCAGCCCCAACACCACTCAAGAAGGTCAATGCCATCCAGGACAAAGCAGCCGCTTGATTGGCACCACGTTTCCACACCGTCAACATTTGTACACCCCACCATCAAAGCACAACGTGTACCAAATACAAAATACCCTGAAGAAGGGTCCAGACCCGAAACGTCAGCTTTCCTGCTCCTCTGATTCTGCCTGGACTGCTGTGTTCCTCCAGCTCCACACCTTGTTATCTGCTGCCATTTGTCAGGTCCCCTTCAAAAACACTTGCCAAATTGTCAATCTCTGCTGCCTAGAAGGACAAGGGCAGCAGTTGCATTGAAGATCACCCCCCTACAAGTTCCCCTGCAAGCCACACACCATCCTGACTTAGCAATGTATCGCCATTCCTTGGCTGTCACTGGCTCACTGGAGCTCCCTTCCTGTTTGCGCTATGGGCGTGCCTAAACTGCATGGACTACAGTAGTTCTAGAAGATGACTTGCCGCCAAATCTGTTTGAGTGATGTGCGTATGGGTTTCCAAAAAGCTTTGGTGACAAGTGCCCTATAATAAGCTTGTCCCCAGTGTCGAAGGCCGTGAACAAAAGGGGAAGTATTAGCATGTTAAAGTTGACTGAGGGACTCATACACAGAGTATTTTTGAACAGTTAATTCCAAGACGAGGGGTAATTATATTATACAGTTCCCCATGGATTAGTACCAAGGCCAGGGCTTTACTCGACATATATTTAGTGATCGAAACTTGAGTACAGGACACAATTTCAAACTTTGAACATGTCTTGGAAGTGAGGAGGATAGTGATAAACTTGAAGAGGGCAGAAACAGACTGATGGACTGGGCGAGAGTGTGGCAGATGTAGTTTAACACAGAGGAGTGACATGTGACACATTTTGCTCAGAAGAATGAAAAGAGACAAGATAAGCTGTGGTATTTTCCCAGTTGACCACTGCTGGCATTTGGCAGGATTTCTCACTTCTATCAGTATGTGGTACTGGGTAAGGGCTTTTTTTCAGGGGTTAGTTCATTGCCAGGAATCCATCTTTGTTTTTTCTTTGTCTTGGGCCTGTCTAGTGAAAAGTGATAGAGGATACACCACTGTAAAATATATACGGAAGAGGCATCGTTCTTAAATAACAAGTGGAGTCACTGCATGAGCATAGATCACTGAAAGTTGCCACCCAGGTTGATAGCGTTGTTAAGAAGGTGTACAGTATGTTAGGTTTTATTGGTAGAGGGATTGAGTTTCGGAGCCATGAGGTCATGTTGCAGCTGTACAAAACTCTGGTGCGGCCGCACTTGGAGTATTGCGTACAGTTCTGGTCACCGCATTATAGGAAGGATGTGGAAGCATTGGAAAGGGTGCAGAGGAGATTTACCAGGATGTTGCCTGGTATGGAGGGAAGGTCTTATGAGGAAAGGCTGAGGGTTTTGAGGCTGTTTTCGTTAGAGAGAAGAAGGTTAAGAGGTGACTTGATAGAGACATACAAGATGATCAGAGGATTAGATAGGGTGGACAGTGGGAGCCTTTTTCCTCGGATGGTGATGGCTAGCACGAGGGGACATAGCTTTAAATTGAGGGGTGATAGATATAGGACAGATGTCAGAGGTGCGTTCTTTACTCAGAGAGTAGTAAGGGCGTGGAATGCCCTGCCTGCAAAAATAGTAGACTCGCCCACTTTAAGGGCATTTAAATGGTCATTGGATAAACATATGGATGATAATGGAATAGTTTAGGTTAGATGGGCTTCAGATTGGTTTCACAGGTCGGCACAACATCGAGGGCCGAAGGGCCTGTACTGCGCTGTAATGTTCTATGTTCTATGTTCTATGTTCTATGATAGCGAGAAGTACAGCCACATTAGGTCAGGCATTATTCCTAGCACCTTAGGGAGCCATCACAGATACATCTATGCCCTCTGAAAGCTGGTTTGGAACCTTTTATCTCAGGTTCTTGAACAGATCTATAGCTCGGGTTGTGGATGCTGTGGTTGGTTGGCTCGCCGAGCTGGTTCATTGTTTTGCAGACGTTTCATTACCCTGCTGGGTAACATCATCAGTGCAGCCTCCGATGAAGCGCTGTTGTGTTTTCCCACTTGGTATTTAAACTCTGGGGTCCGTTGGAATTTGCTTACCTCATTTTCAGCTTTTCCTCTCAGTGGTGTATATATAGGGTCTAATTCAATGTGTTTATTGATGACCTTCTTGGTGGAGAACCAGGCCTCTGGAAACTCCCGTGTTTGTCTCTGTTTGGCCTGTCCTAGGACCCTGATGTTGTCCCAGTTGAACTAGTGGTTCTCCTTATCTGTGTGAATGGAGACGAGCTTCATCGGAGGCTGCATTGATGATGTTACCCAGCAGGGTAACAAAATGTCTGCGAACTAACAAACCAGCTCAGCGAGCCAACCAACCTCACCAACCTTTGATCTCCACCCACAGACTGTGCAAGACTTCAGTCGAAAAGCTGGAGCCAATGTAACAGGAACATCAACCCCTTTAGAACCAATTCCCTATAAATAACAGAAACTAAAGGGTAGATCGTTGTCTCATTGTTGGCTGATACTTCATCCTGAGCCATTTCCTTGGTAATCTTTGCCAGTGCCTTTCATTCTAAGGGCTTTACTTCCACTTCAGCTGGGACTGGAATCGAACCCATATTATTCTGAACCATGTGCTAACTATCTTCCCAACTGACCTCTGAAACTAAAAGGGTACAAGTATAAAAGGGAGAGCGGGAGCAGGGGAACCAATTGTTCAAGGGGCCATGGCAGGTTAAAAATGTTGCTAAAGAATCCAATGGGATCCTGGGCTTTGTAAATTAAGAGATAACGTACAGGAGTGAGAAACACAGACCTGGCCTTAACACTCCGTCTTTAGGAAGCCTTTAGAGAGAGTGCGGAGAATTAACAAGATTGACTTCAGAGATGAGGGACTTAGTTAGGATTGCAGATCGAATAGGCAAGGGCTATTCTCCTTGGGGAAGAGAAGGTAGGAGACTTGACCAAGGTATTCAAAATCCCGAGGAGTCTAGAGATTTGCAGAAGCAAACTGTTTCTTTCAACAGAAAGGTCACAAAGAAGAGAACACAGATTTACAGTGAACGGGCAAAAGAACCACACGAGAATATTTATTTCACACCCTGTGTTATCCAGGTGTGGAATACATTGCCTGAGAGTGTGATGGAGGAACGTTAATGATAGCTTTCGAAAGGAAATTGGATATGCTGATGGCTGGATCACAGAGGATGCCATTCGGTCAATTGAGTTTTGCATTTACAGGGCAAGGATGAGACAGCGGGTTGAGCTAATTGGGTTTTCTGCACAAGCCAGCTGGATTCAATAGGCCAAATGGTCTCCTTCCATGTTCCAGCCATTCTGGTTCCTTACACAATATATATATTATACATACATATCCCTCTATGACATTGCCATGTTCCCCACCTCCAGCTTTACAACCTGGCAGAGAACTCACTGTTATTGCTTCAATCACTGTTGTGCCCTGGACCCTACGCACTGGAATTCCCACCTGAAATACTCACCACTGTGCCCCCCCACCCCCATTTCTCTCTCTTCCTTGAGTCTGTTTCCTGTTTCTTTCCCGTCTATTTGACCAACCTTTTGCTCCTCCATACTAATATTTCTTTACTCAAGGCTCAGTGTCTTGTTTCATAATTCTCACGCGAAGCACCTGGAGACGGATTTTTCTAATTTACAGGTGCTACATAAATGCACGTTGTTTTGAATTGAAGGACAAAACCAGGTGGAGGTGGGGAGGGGTGTAACATAAGACATAGGAGCAGGACTAGGCCATTCAGCCTCTCAAACCTGCTGCACCATTCTACAAAGTAATGGCTAAACTGCCCAAGGCCTCTTTCTTTCACGCTAACTCAGCATAGCTGCCAACTCCAGGATATTTTCCAAATTTATCTCCCTCCTTCTTTAAATATTTGGCGATCGAACCTCCCACAACCCTGTGGGGTAGAGAATTCCAGACATTCACTGCCCTTTGGGAAAAGAAATTTCCAAGGATCAGTGTGGACCCAAGGGGCCGAATGGCCTGCTTCCACGCTGTAGGGATTCTATGATCTCAGATTTAAATGAGTGTCCCCTCATTCTGTAACTAAGTCCTGTAGTTTGGGATTCCTGGACTAGTGGAAACATTTTCTCCACGTATAGCCTTTGGTAGTTGTATAAAACAGGAGCGACTGGATTGACAAGTGTTGACAATTAGGAGTGGGTGGGCAATTTAACCCTTCGAGTCCACTCTGTCATTTAACATGATCATGGATGATCTTATCCTGGTGTCAACTCCCACTTTCCAGCCTGCTCCCCATAGCCCTTTATTGCACTTTTCATCAGAAATATATCTGTTTCTTTCCTGAATCTGTTGATTGATTCTGCCCCCACTGCGCTCTGGGGCAGTGAGTTCCACAGATTCATAACCCTCTGAGAGAAATAGCTTCTCCTCATCTCAGTTTTGAACCTACCTCCTCTCACTCTATATCTATCCATGCCCTCTTTGGCGAGACTGTCCCACAAGGGGGAACATCTACCTTACCAATCCCCTTTAGCATTTTATATTTTCCTCAATCAGATCCCCACTCATTTTTCTGAACTCCAGTGTGTACAAGTGTACACATCTCCCCTCATTTGCGTTTGGAAGGATAAAGCAGCTGGACAATTCATTTAGAGTTGCCAACGTTCCAATGTTCGAAGATCAGTCTCCAGCTGCTGCAGTGTGGAGGAAGAAAAACACGGCCATGTTCAATCAGATTGATTTATCTTGTCATTTTCTTGATATATTGATTATATTGTCACGTGTACCGAAATACAGTGAAAAGCTTTGTTTACAAGTGGTACAGGCAGATCACAGCAAGCAAAGGATGTACAGATCAAAAAGACTTGGAGACATACAGGTTACATTGCAGCTTACGTTATTTGAGGCTAGAGTCCATTCAACAGTCTGATAACGGCCAGAAAGAAGCTGTTCCTGAACCTACTTGTGCATGTGTTCTGCCTGACGCTAGAGGTTGTAGGAGACCATTACCGGGGTGCGATGGGCCTTTGATGATGTTGGCCGCCTTTCTGCGGCAGCGAGCCGTGTAAATGGAGTCCATGGATAGAAGGTTGGCTTCTGTGATGGTCTGGGCTGTGCGCACCACCTTCTGTAGTTTCTTATCGTCCCGGGCAGAGCAGTTGCCATACCAGGCTGTTATGCACCCGGACAATATGCTTTCAATTGTGCATCTGTAGAAGTTGGTGAGGGACCTTATGGACATGTGAAATTTTCTGAGCCGCCTGTGGAAGAAGAGGCATTGTTGTGCCTTCTTGACTGTCACATCTGCATGGGAAGTCCAGGATAGGTTGTTGGTTATCGTCACTCCTAGGAACTTGATGCCTTTCACTCTCTCAACCTCAGTTCCGTTGATGTAGATGGAGGCATGTTCTCCTCCGTTCTTTGACCATTTGTCTTTACTGGACTGTGGCATGGTGCCTCACAGCGCCAGGGACCCATTTCCACCCTCAGGCAACACACAGTGTGGAGTTTGCACATTCTCCCCATGTCTGCGTGGGTTTCCTCCCACAATCCAAAGATGTGCAGGTTAGGGTGGATTTGGCCATGCTAAGTTGCTCATAGAGTCCGGGGATGTGCAGGCTAGGGGGATTAACAATGGGAAATGCAGGGTTACAGGGTGGGTCTGGGAGGGATGTTGTTCAGAGGGTCGGTGTGGGCTCGATGGGCCGAATCGCCTGCTTCCACACTGTAGGGATTCTTTTGATTCTAAAGTAATGTAAATGAAGGGGGAGGGGAATTTGTGTCTGTACGGCATTTAAGTGTTGGGTAATGCATCTGATTGGCGGCCAGTAATTCAGCTGAGTAATGGTTAGGAAGTGAGGCACATCATGTGAGAAAGGATGTTTATTCCCAGTTGGCAACATTAAACTTCAACATCACCCACTTTACACTCGCCTCAAACAGAAATTACAGCGAGGAGGTTTGGGATGGGCGGTGGACAGTTTGAGGAATTCTCAGAATAAGGGTGGGCTGAGGTGGGATTGGGAAGACAACGGAAACATGGTCACTGGAAGTGCCCTGGCCACAGTTTAAACCAACGCAGCGCAGTTTCCCTGTTACTTCCCAAAGGGAGAGCTCCAGTAAAGCACAGCCATGGAGGGGAATCTGTGTTGACCTGGATAGATGTTTCGAGTGGGCAAGCTGCTGAGAATTAGACTTGTGTGTGGATGATGCATATCCTGGTGATTTCATTGCCCCCCTTCAGAGTGTCTGATCTCTTTGTTTGAGTGTGGAACATCGGTGTGAGACAGACAGGCAAAGCGAAAATGCTGACTCATTCAGAAACTATGTGTGCTGTGGTTGGGGAGTGGGGAGATGGGGGGGTGGGGTGGTGGTCTCACACACACTGGGAGCTGCTGACTTCTATAAACGCCCTTCTTCTCAA